CTTCTCCCCTTTGCCCTATCCTTTCTTTACTTTTTGCAAAGTGAGTTCAAAGCTCAAAACTGGTTTGAACTCAGTTAACTTAATAGGGGAGAAGATCGGGATGTGCAGAACCTTGCCCTTTCCTATAGACTCAGAGAAGAGCAAACGGTTACAGTATGTCCTAGCTTCTTTTTTCTTCCACAGCAATAACTCTTACCATCTTGACCACATTCTGATATTTCTTGGCTGTTTGTGTGCCAGTTTTCACCACTGAAATTTTGGAGGACATGGGGTAAGAGATTCTTAGTCTATTAGATGCTGCTGGGACACTTTATCCATTCATGATCTCCTTGGCCTTGTCCTATCTCAAACAGTGAAAAGCCCTATTAAACTTGGTGGTGATTACTTCTAAAAACTGTGGCATAGATACTGAGAACTGGGAAGCCCTGGCCCTTGAATGCTCTAACTGGAGGTCAGCTGTGACCAGCAGTGCTGTGAAATTCGAAGAGGCACGAACAGAGGGTGAAAGAGAGAAGCGTGCCAAGAGGAAGGCACATCAAGCCAACCCTGACCAGAACCACCTTCCACCTGGTAACCGAACTCCTCACTGCGGGAGAAGATGCAGATCACGAATAGGGCTCCACAACCACATACGAACCCACTGCCAAGACACCATATCTGGAAGACAATCGTCTAAGTGACTACTGATTAGGCATGTAAAAGATTGTGCCGCTAGACTGAAAGATGGGATGAACTCTGTTTCCCAGACCCCTGTTAGCATGGGTTCTATTCAGGCTTTTTAATTTATTTACTTCAGAACTCCAGCTCTGCTGCTCCAATTGTCTAGGTGTAAAGGGACACTTACTGGCTCTGTGAGGGGAAGTAAAATACATCCCAATCAACACTTCACAAATGTTGGGTTGTTGTGAGTTTTCTGGGCTGTATGGCCATGTTCCAGAAGCATTCTTTCCTGACGTTTCACCTGCATCTATGACAGGCATTCTCAGAGGTTGTGAGGTTTGATAGATATAAACTAGTTTGCACTTTGAACTCAACTTGCTCCAACTGAATTAGCACAAGACAAAGGTGTAAAGTTGGAGAAGAAAAAAACTGGGACATTTTGAAAGCGGCTGTGAAAGTGCTTTAACAGAGGCTTAACCACCCTTGCCAAATCAGGCAGGAAACTATAGCATGGACAGCTGCTAATTTTTAATTTCTGACCCAAAGACCAGCCCCTGTTAGCAGAACTCGGTGCCTACAAGACTTTTGCCTTGGTTGCTCCACTCCAGTTCTGTGACTATTGGGTGACTTCTCTTGCCTGTTGGACCATCTCCTCTTTCTCTTTTTTTCACTGTCTGTTCACTTACTCTCTTCCAAACTGTGAACAGTTGTCACTCTCTGCAATGCTTGAACTTTGCGGACTTAGGAAGAATTGAACATGGAGGAACAGAATTTGTATTGGGGGGGGGGGGTGCAATAGCAATATTTTCAGCTACCCCACCCCATAGTTACATTCCAGCTCTGATTTTTTTTGTATTATTTATAGTCCTACAGGAATGCAGTCCTAAAATAAAACAAAAACAATAGGCACTCTCTTGCAGTAGATAATATTGCTTGCCCCTGTCTTACTTTTCACGTGAGAGGGGTTGGAGAAAAGGTGATGCTGCAGATAGGACTACTAGATAAACAAGAATAAGTGTACACACAAACATGCACACATACACATACATATATAACAGAACCAGTGCTGGATTCTGATTTCCCAAGCAATGCGTGAAGGTGAATTTAACTGCAGCTGGAGCTGACTCAGCAGCAGGAGGAAGAGAAGACATTGGGGGGGGGGGGGGGGGGAGGATGAAACGGAACTTTTTTTTCCTGTCGTAAGCTGATTCAGCGGCATCTTTTCCTCCCATCCCTTTTCATAACCATGGTATGAGAGCAGTCGCAGGCATCTGCTCCTTACCCTTCAAAAGTCCTTGTTGGCTTCTCTTCCTCTTCCATTCCTACTGCATATGCATAAGATGGTTTGCACTCTGGTTCTAATGTAGTGAATGCCAAGCCAGGATCAAACTGAGAAAAGGCAGTCCTCACTCCCACTCTCCACAAGGGGACACATTTCCATATTGGTTGCTAATATAATCCAACGTTTCCATTCCTAATAGGATATCACTCCTTCCTTTTTAATTTTCTAATATGGCTCTTCCAAAACCTTTTTCCTTGGAGGAACCCTAGAAATTATTTCCAGGTTTTGGGGAAGTTCTGCATACAATTTTTTTGAACTGCTAGGTTGGCAGAAGCTGGGGCTAACAGCGGGAGCTCACCCTGCTCCCAGGATTCAAACTGCTGATCTTTCAGTCAGCAAATTCAGCAGCTTGGCAGTGTAACCCGCTATGCCACCAGGAGCTAGGTCTACGGCTGGAAAAAAAGTTTATTTTTTCCATCACAATCTCTCATGGAATCCCTAACAATCTGGAAATCTGGAGAATTTTGGTTTGGAAAACCTTTTTTAATGTCTCTGGAATCTGGTTAGCCTAGTAGCAGTGCAACTTTTCCTCCATTCTTTAGATGAGGAAGAGAGGAAAATATTTTGATTTGTTAGTATGGAATAGAAAATTGGATTGATGACAAGAAAGAAAAACTGTAAGGGGAAAATGTATGCCCATCCTGAAATATAGGGTGGAAGGATAGATATCAAGTACTTTCGAGTTTGAAATTCTCCTCATGCTTGACCAGTGAGAAACACAAGATAGTTTCCCCTTGCTCTCCCCTTCCTTTTGATATGACATCTCATTTAAAGGTATCTTCCCATTAGGTTGCTGTGAGTTTTCCGGGCTGTATGGCCATGTTCCAGAAGCATCTCCTGACGTTTCATCCACATCTATGGCAGGCATCCTCAGAGGTTGTGAGGTCCTCACAACCTCTGAAGATGCCTGCCATAGATGTGGATGAAACATCAGGAGACGATGCTTCTGGAACATGGCCATACAGCCTGAAAAACTCACAGCAACCCAGTGATTCCGGCCATGAAAGTCTTCAACAACACATATCTCCCCATTTATTGTACCATTTCTTTGTACCGTATCCTATAATTTCTCCACCACACACAATTTTCTCTCTCTTCTGCCAAATTCCTTCAGTTCAGTTTCTCTATCGCACCTCATTTGTATCAGCCACATTCTTCTCAAAATTCATTCCATTTTTCCTTTCTTTCCTGAGCCCTGTGCTTTCTTGGATGAATAGGAGCTGGAACTGTGTAATACAGGGAGAAAAGGAAAGGAAGTTATGAAAGGGAAATAATTTTAGAAAGAAGGAGGGATGAAATGGAAATACATTGGTTCCAAAACAAATCTTAAGAACTTCTTGAAGAAATGTAGAAGGAAAGGGTGGGGGGAAGGACAAGGAAAACACTATTGCGCATCCTGAGTCCTTACAGAAGTGTGGAAACACTATAATATAATGCACTGGTTCTCAACCTTCCTATTGCTGTGACCCCTTAATACAGTTCCTCATGCTGTGGTGACCCCCAATGATATAATTATTTTAGTTGCTACTTCATAGCTGTGGTTTTGCTATTGTTATGAATCATAATGTAAATATCTTGTATGCAGGATATATTTTCATTCACTGGACCAAATTTGCCACAAATACCTTATATGCCTAAATTTGAATATTGGTGGGGTTGAAGGGGATTGATTTTGTCATTTGGGAGTTGTAGTTGCTGAGATTTATAGTTCACCTACAATCAAAGAGAATTTTGAAGTCCACCAATAAGAATTGAACCAAACTTGGCACGCAGAACTCCCATGACCGACAGAATATATGGGAACTGTTTGGTGGGCATTAACATTGAGTTTGGGAGTTGTAGTTCACCTACATTCAGAGGGCACTGTGGACTCAAACAATGGTGGATCTGGACCAAACTTGTCATGAATACTCAATATGTCCAAATATGAACACTGGTGGAGTTTGGGGAAAATAGACCTTGACATTTGGGAGTTGTAGTTGTTGGGATTTATAGTTCACCTACAATCAAAGAGCATTCTGAACTCCACCAATGATGGTATTGAACCAAACTTGGCACACAGAACCCCCATGACCAACAGAAAATACTGTGGTTTTCTGATGTTCTTTGGCGATCCCTCTGACACTTTCTTGTGACCCCCCCCCCCCCCCAGGGCCTCGACCCCCAGGGTGAGAAATGCTGATATAATGAGGAAAGCACAGGAAGATGGTTAACTGGGGGATTCACAAAGAAAGACTGAACAGACTGGAAAAACACAAAGGAATGTAGAAAGAATGGATAGAAGGAGGAATTGGCACACAAAAGTGAAATGTATAAGAATGACACAGAAGGAAGAAGTTTTTGAATTAAGGACAAAAGAATGCATACGGGAAGTAAAAAATATATGAAGGAAAGGGGAAACAAAGAAGCTGAAATTTACTCTGTCTTGGCAAGCTGGATAATATATTCCTTCTCTCTCTCTCTCTCTCTCTCTCTCTCTCTCTCTTTCCATCCTTAGTTTTAGCCTCAATAACCCAAAGCAATATCACAACTGAAGGGAGCATGCTTGCCAAAAGGTCTTGAGTTTGTAAAAGTTTCCACGGATACCATGCCATGAACAAGTGAATGCGGGGTGAGAATATTTGAGGCATTGACGGCTGGAAGACAGTTATTTCCTCACCCCTCTATTATGGTGTTTTAATTGTCTCTCACTTGTGGGGGTTATAAATAAAAATGTCTCTTCAAACAGGATGGTAGATTCTCCTTCAAACTGTTGTAGAAAGTAAATACTGTGGACAAGCCAGGAAGAGGAAGCAGCAAGAAGGCAAATGGTGTGTGAGGCATTAGGAGAAATGTTATACAAGACTGAGGGGGGAAAACACAGGACAATCAGGTCATTTTTTGACAGAAAGAGGCCATAGTTTAGCAAATCTAAAATGGTGTGGCACTTTGCTTTTTGGAATTTAGGGGAAAATATCTGAGGCAATAAGAAAAGACATAAAAAAGGACAGTGGCCCAATTGGTCATAGCTGAGCACACCAAAATGGTGACCTGTTTATTTCCTGTCAGGATATTTAAGATACAGAAAAATGGCAAGGAAATAGCTTCATGCTAAATGTTGATTGTCCAAGGTTGAAATATTGGAAGGAATCAACCAAAGAGTTATTTTTGGAAAGGGCTAGATATCTTGAGACACAGGAACATAGCAATAATCTCAGAGCTATGTCACAAACTAGAATGGTGAAAAAGAAAATGCAGAATTAGATGCTCGTTTTGGGCCAAACTAACATTCTTGCCATCACCTAAGAAACTGGGATGTAAAGTTAATTACCTTTTTAAAGTGGATATGCCTGAAGAAATAGAGCCTTTAGGGGTGGAGGGTGAATATGGCAAAGAGGTGTTATTTATATCTAGTGAGAAAACAAGAATTATTAAGCTCATTACTTCTTATCTATGTTGTTGATTTTGTTGTGATCCACCAAAAAGGTGGCCTGGAACCATTTATGGTCAGGTATTGCCTTCATGGGGGGAAATGACTGTTTGGATTCTTCTTCTCGTGTACTGAATGATATAGATGGTTTTGGAACTTACTTCTTGACAAGTCTTTTTTGAGGAGAACGTTGAGAGGGACAGAACATGCTAAATAAATGAGCCGCTTCCTGCTAGGGTTTCCAACCACCTGAGTGAAAGGAGAGGTATTCTGAGGCGGCATAACCGAACTGGGAAATTCCACTGCTCTGTGGAGAAAGGAGGAGGACATATATGACTGAGTCTTTGAGGTGGGATTTTTTCAATTTGGTAGCCAAGTTTCCCAGCAGAGAGAAAAAGATTAGGACCATTTCCAAGCAGGAATGAGGAGGGGAGGCATTGGCAATCTTAAAAGTTGGTTGAAGTTCCCACCAGCTGGATAAAGAAAAAGAGAAAGAGAGAGAGAAAGAGAGAAGACGTTTCTAGCAGAGCAGATGGTAAAGAGTCTTCAGAGAGGGGGAAAGACGCCCCCACTTATGTCTTCACAGGAGTCTCCTAGGCAGGTAGGGGGTAGGACAATATAGTCTGCAAGCAAAGGCTGGCCTCCTTGTCCAGCATGTTCTCTGGTGCGTCTAGCAAGGTGAGGTGGATATGTGCATATGTTCGGGGTACTTGATCGCTGGTGGGTAGTTCTGAGTCATCTGGATGGAAACGTCGCTGGAGATGTCAGAGGGGCTGCGTCCGCGGTGCCACACTTCGGGGTGCAAGAACTGGCCTGAGTAGTCAGAACAGTCGCTCAGCCGCGGGCGGTAGAAGGCCGGGTGCGGACGGTACATTTCCTCCTCAGCGTAGCGCTTGGTGAAGAGGTAGACAGACATCACGCCTGCGCCCTGCAGAGGAGTGACAGACAGAAGGATCAAAACTGTGGCAGACCCCTTTATAATGTAAAGCTAAAGGTTTCCCCTGACATTAAGTCTAATCATGTATGACTCTGTTGGGTGGTTCTCATCTCCATTTCTAGGCTGAAAAGCCGCCATTGTCCGTAGACACCTCCAAGGTCATGTGGCCAGCATGGAGCACTGTTACCTTCCCACAGAAGCAGTATCTATTGATGCACTCACATTAGCATGTTTTTGAACTGCTAGGTTGGCAGAAGTTGGACCCAACTAGTGGGAGCTCATCTCGCTCCCTGGACTCAAACTGCCAACCTTTTGGTCAACAAGTTCTGCAGCTCAGTGGTTTAACCCACTGCACTCCAGGGGACCCATCTTTATAATGTACATCTGTTATAATGTAAAATTATATAATGGTAAGGACTTATTAAAGGTGATAGTACACCAGCCAGCACCATACCTTGTCATATAATAGGTACATCCATATTTTCTGACAAGATTTAGAAGTGGGCCAACATAAATACACTAAAGACACAGGATTCTGTCTGATCTTAGAAATGAACCATGGCTTACTGCTTGGATTGGAGACCAGGTGCTTTAGGCTATACCAGGAATGGGCAAACTTCAGCCTTCTGGGTGTTTTGGACTTGTGGGAGTTGAAGTCCAAAACACCTGGAGGGGTGAAGTTTACCCATTCCTGGGCTATACTATTCCTGAAGGAGAGACTGCCAAAATCATCTCCGAGTATTCCTAAGAAAATCCTATGAAGTTCATGTTAACAAATGATTTGAAGGCATATTCACACACACATAGAAGTGGGTAGTATCCCATCAGGTTTTAATAAGTCTTTATTGTGGGATGATTTTACATGGCAATATCCTGTTTTGGGTTGACATACCTACCTATTAGTCTAAATAAGTACTTCTCAACCTTCCTAATACTGTGACCCCTTAATACAGTTCCTCATGTTATGATGACCTCCAACCATAAAATTATGTTTGTTGTTACTTCATAACTGTAATTTGGCTACTGTTATTAATCATAATGCAAATATCTGATATGCAGGATGTATTTTCATTTACTGGACCAAATTTGGCACAAATCCCTGATATGCCCAAATTTGAATACTAGTGGGTTTGGGAGTGGGATTGATTTTGTCATTTGACAGTTGTAGTTGCTGGGATTTATAGTTCACCTACAATCAAAGGGAATTCTGAACTCCACCAACAATGAAATTGAACCAAACTTGGCATACAGAATTCCCATGACCAAGAGAAAATACTGGAAGGGTTTGGTGGGCATTGACCTTGAGTTTTGGAATTGTAGTCCACCTACCTCCAGAGAGATTTGGTCCAGTGCAATGATAGATCTGGACCAAACTTGGAACAAATACTCAATATGCCCAAATGTGAACACTGGTGGAGTTGGGGGAAAATAGACCTTGACATTTGGAAGTTGTAGTTGCTGGGATTTACAGTTCACCTAAAATCAAAGAGCACTGTAAACTCAGTCCTCAATGGATCTGCATCAAACTTGGCACACTACCTACATGACCAACATTGAATACTCGTGGGGTTGGGAGGGGGATGTTTTTGAATTCTGAGAGTTGTAGTTCACCAACACCAGAAAAGAAGAGAAGGACAGGAGGAGAGATCTTCAGCCTTCTTTACCAAAAAGGTTCCTAAGACCATCAGAAATACATGTTTTCTGATGGTCTTTGGCGAAACCTCTGAAATCCTCCTCGTGACCCCCCCCCCCAGGGGTCTCATCACCTAGGTTGAGAAACACTGGTCTAATTGATGTGGTCATAATTCAAGTTGCAGTTCAAAGCATATTTTCAATGTTACAGGACAATCGTATTGTGTAGCTGTGTGCCAAGTGTATTTCTTTGCACAGAATGAACAGTGCCTTGCAAACAGCTACCTACATAATACAGACCAACTCCATTAACTGTTACAATTGCATTCTCTTTACTGGTACATAATGTCCCTGGGAATATAAATTTTGTTCTCCACCCCCTCACACTAAGTCAGCAAATCCTGTTTCAATTCACATCTATTCTTGTTTCATTACCTAGTTTTAGTTTATATATGACTCTGATTTCCATTGTCATCTTCAACTAGAGCAGTGTTTCTCAACCTGGGGGTTGGGACCCCTGGAGGGGTCGCGAGGTGGTGTTAGAAGGGTCACCAAAGACCACAAGAAAACACAGTATTTTCTGTTGGTCATGGAAGTTCTGTGTGGGAAGTTTGGCCCAATTCAATCGTTGGCAGGGTTCAGAATGCTCTTTGATTGTAGATCTATAAATCCCAGCAACTACAACTTCCAAATGTCAAGGTCTATTTTCCCCAAACCCACTAGTGTTTACATTTGGGAACATTGAGAATTTGTGCCAAGTTTGGTCCAGATCCATCATTGTTTGAGTCCACAGTGCTCTCTGAATGTAGATGAATTACAACTCCCAAAAGTCAAGCTTAATGCCCACCAAACCCTTCCAGTATTTTCTCTTGGTCATGGGAGTTCTGTGTGCCAAGTTTGATTCAGTTCCATCGTTGGTGGAGTTCAGATTGCTCTTTGATTGTAGGTTAACTATAAATCCCAGCAACTACAACTCCCACAGGACAAAATCAATACCCTCCCCCAATCCCACCAGTATTTAAATTTGGGTGTATTGGGTCTTTGTGCCAAATTTGGTCCAGTGTATGAAAATACATCCTGCATATCAGATATTTACATTACTATTCATAACAGCAGCAAAATGACAGTTATGAAGTAGCAATGAAACTAATGTTATGGTTGGGGGTCACCATAACATGAGGAAGCGTATTAAGGGGTCGTTTTATTAGGAAGGTTGAGAACCCCTGAACTAGAATATCCTGGAACTGTACATTGCTATATTTGTGTGCCTTTGTTTATAGGTTAAAACAAGACATGCCTTAAATTAATTATGTGTGTTTTATATTTCTTTAGGGATATACACTCATGCCAGTTTTATTTTATGGTACATAGCATAGCTGTGTAAGCCATGCATGGACAAACTTGGGCCTTCCAGGTTAAGCGGCTGAGGGGGGAAAGGAAAGGGCCTGAGGCTGTTAGGAATTGTGGGAGTTGAAGTCCAAAACACTTGGAGAGCCCAAGTTTGCCCCATGCCTGGTGTAGCCTATTCATTTCCTCTACTAACTGAGGAACGTGGACAGCCACTTCCATTCAGTGATGCCACACACACAAATACTTTCATCCTCGATTATGGAAATTTACATCAAGTCAGGAGGAATACACAAAGGAAACCATACCCAACAGCGAAACTGTAAAGAAAGACATAACAAGTCAGGATATATAATGTTCAAAAAAGTAAAACATTCAAACTACAAAATATACAAAATCATGTAACACATTTTATAACATCCAAAATAAAAACGAACAGCCTGACAGCTACTTTAAGACAAATATACATGAATCCCATTCTTTTAAAAAAGGAACAAACACCCACTAATGGGTAAGTAAACACAGATAATTTCAGATAATAATGAACAACCAAACATCTGCTGACCAAATTCTGTCTCCCGCAGCACAGTCTAATAGTAAAATCTTAATGACCCCAATTTTCATATAATACGTAAAGGACAATACCCTGCCTTTCAGCCCAAATTGTAATACACCAACACTAGTATATCAGTGGTGTCACCTGCAAAATAAATGAAAAAATTAATTATTAAGAAGGATTTAAAGTTGTAAAAATGATTTTAAAATACATAATATTCAAAGCAGATTCACAGCTTGGAAAACAACACTGTTAACAGGGTTGCTGTGAGCTTTCTGGGCTGTGTGGCCATGTTCCAGAAACCTTCACTCCTGATGTTTGGCTCACATCTATAGAGGCATCCACAGAGGTGGAGGAGTCTCTTGGAAACTAGGCAAGTGGGGTTTATATATCTGTGGGATTATGTCCAGGGTGGGAGAAAAAACTTGTGCCTGTTTGGGGCATGTGTGAAAGTTGCAATTGACCACCTTGATTAGTACCGAATGACTTTGCAGCTTTAAAGCCTGGTTGCTTCCTGCCTGCTTCAAAGCAAACATATGCAATGAACTATGGCACCTCCATGGAAACACCAGCCAAAAGATGAATACCCAGGATGGGAAACAGAAAGGAGGAAACCATGAAAATGAAAAAAATCTGGTTACCAGTATTTTAAAAACTCTAAAATCAGGACAGTAAATAAAGAGCAACACTCAGAAAACAGGAAATTCCAGACAAGAAACAATCAGGGTCAGCTAATCGGTGATCACCTCCAAACAAAGGATTTCCTCAGACAGGAAGCAGCCAGGCTTTGAAGCTGCAAGGCTATTCAGCGCTAATCAAGGTGGCCAATGCAACATTCACACTTAACTCCAACAGACAAGAGTTCTTTCTCCCACCATGGACATTGCACAGATATATACACTTCACTTGCCTAGTTTCCAACAAACCGCACAAATTCTGAAGATGCCTGCCATAGACATGGGTGAAACGTCAGGAGAGAATGCTTTTTGAAAATGGCCATACAGCCTGGAAAACTCATGGCAACCCAATGATCCCAGCCACGAAAGCCTTCAACAACAATGTTAACAAATATTTCTTTTAGATTTTCATGGTTATAATGTGTTACATGAATTTGTATATCTGGAAATTGTACAGAGTTTTTAGACAATTATACGTCCCAACTTATTATGTCTCACTTTGGAAATATAAAACAAGTATTTGCACATCTTCAAACATGTTCAGTGGGGTTTTCACAAGAGTTGCCAGAATCTGTGGACCAGTAGCTGTGATGGGACTACAGTTTCCATCATTCGTCACCATTGGTTATGCTATCTTGGGCTGACAGACTGTGTATATCAGTGGTTCCCAACCTGTGGTCTGTGGACCACCAGTGGTCTGCAAGAACAAAAATATGGTCAGTGTCCTCACCATTACTACATTGTTGCCTCAAAACCACACGGCAACCAGAGCGACTGGT